TATATATATTATATGCTTGTATATTGATGGTGCTTTACAAGAATTATATTTGTATATAATATTTCCAAACCAAACATCTTAAATTAATTTTAAGAATTTGGTCTCTTAGCATGGTTTACATAGTCAATCAAAACAAAACATATGTTCAAATAAAAAAATATAATACATTATAACATATATTTTAAATTAAAATAATTTTTTGCAAAAATCATATTTTTAAAAATAAGATTTTCAAATCAAAATAAATTTTAGTTTATTTTGTACGAGTAATTATCTTTATGTCTTTACATGGTATACAGATTGATATTCTATAAAAACTGAGTTAGAATTTTTTATTATTTTTCTATATTTAATATAAAATAATAATAAAATATATGTTTGAAAATTTTTAATAATATTCATGCTGTATATATACAATGTTATTGTAAAAGGTTGAATTATAAATATATTAAATATATACAATAATCGAAACGAAATTAAAATGTAATGACATGTAAATCTTAAATAGTCAATTAGAAATATCAATAATACTTGTTCAAATTATTCAAAGTTGCCAAAGATTGCTTCCGAATAATTTTTATTAAAATATACTGAGTTATATTACTAAACATGATTTTTAGACATATTTAGATTTGAAAAATCTAAAACAATTTTCGCATAATTACATAAAGAAAATATAATAGTAATTATCTGAAAAATCAGTCATAATATAACATCATAGTTATTTAAGTTTAAAAAAAATTTTCATATTTTTGAGGATAGTATTAAATGTATGATCTTTAGTTATTAACAATCTTTATGTATTGTAATTGTAATTATTTTTTGATCTAATTATTAATTAAATAAAATAATTTCTTTCAATATTATATTTATTTTTAAGTCTTTTTTTTATAATATTGTTTTTTTTAATATTATTTCATATTATAAATAATGATTAAAAATAATTAGAATTAAAAATAAGAAAATAAAGAACATTTCCAATTGAAAATTTTAATTTTAATTTTCTTATATTTAAACTTACTTATATCCTAAAATTATTTCAAAATTATTTAAAAATAACTTTGTAATTAATATGAACTCAATACATATATAAATAACATATCGAACTTATTTAAAATTAAAGATATTCATTTATTAAATCATAGCAAATTATTCTATTTAAGAAAAAATTAAAATTTATTTTCTACTATTTAATTATAATCATGTTTTTTATATTCCTAAAAAATAAAATATAAAAAATGTAATACTATTATTTTTATATTTTATGTAAAAGTAATTGTATTCATACTAATTTCAATTATAATATTAATTTCAATTAAAATAATTATATAATATATAATAATTAAAATAATCCTTGTGTTCGAAATATAACAATTACATAATTATCTTTTACATATTCATATCTTGCACATGATATTTAAAATCGACCAATAGATGGTGCTGAGAATCAAATTCTCTCTCTTATTCTAATAATACTTTGTTGACTAACGTTATTTTTTTCTTTAAATATTAGTATAAAAGTTTGTTGAAGCCTTACTCTATCACGTATTGCTAATTTAGTCAAAGTGAACAGACGTGTGGTACAATATGTGGAAAACAGTAGGGATGTTAGGACTTTGTGTCGCTGGAATATCTATTTATTTATCGTAAGTTTATCAATGTTATAAAATGATTAATATAAATTGAAAACATTATCACAAATATATAAGTATTTATTTATATAATTTTTATATACAATATCTATCATAGATATCAATAGATATATATATGATATATATTTTTTAATTGATCGATTTTATTTTATTTTATGTAAAAAGTACTCCTAATAATATACAATCTTCATATATTTTTGTAAAAATTATAATTATATAATTTATTATTATAATTTTATATTATATTATAATTATATTTATATTTTGAATATAAAATGATAATTTATGATTTTTAAATTTTAATAAAAATCTTTTTCCTTACGTAAAATTAATATGATTCTTTTTAATGTTAACATATTTTTATTTTTTGAATTTTTTCATATATTCATTTATAATTCATGAATTCCGATTTGTATACGTAAGAAAAATGTAAACTTTATTTATATAATTTATATATATAAAGAATTTATTCATATTATATAATAACTAATTATAAAATTTTAATATTATTTTTAAATATTTATAAATTTTTATTTTACGTTTTACATTTAAAATTTATTATAAGAATTTAATCCTTTTCATATATATTATGTTATATTATGTTCAAATATTTAAAATCCTTAGTATATATTTATATATCAAATTTATTTCTCAATTTTATTTGTATAATATCAACAAATATTGATTCATTCAATATATTATTACAAATTATAATAAATATTAGCTTTAAATATTATTGATTAAAAATCAGTTTCATGCCGCTAATTGATTATAATAAATATAAATTCATTTTTAAATAAAATCAAAATCAATATTCATTAAATATAATTATATTGAATTTAGAGAAATTAATAAAATTCATAGTTATTTTATATTTTAAATTGAAAATGGAAGAGATACATTAAACGACAAAATTAAAAGTAAAAAAATTCTGATTTTTGAATCATTTAATTTTTATACTATTATGGTTTTGCAAAAAAAAATTATATAATAATTTGCTTAGAAATACTTTACATGACAAAAATTTTATTTTCACTTTATTAAAACAATTTTCAATAAAGATGTTTTCACATTAAAAAACAGAATGAAAAAATGAATATAGTGTTTTTTTTCAAAAATTGTAAAAAATTAAATTAATTACGGAATTTGATAAATTTTTCTAAGATATAACGAAGAGTTATTTTAAATTTATAAATTCATCATTAGTCATTATTAGTAGTTTAAAGTCCATTCTTTAAGCGGATTCATAATTTAACAAGTAATTTTATTATAGTTTGAATGAAAAGTATGCTATCATCATTAGAATAACAAAAATTGCTTTAAGTTTCTTTATTATTTTTCATTTACACACTTTTTGGTTCTTTCGATATACAGATTGTTTTATAATTTGATACAATAAATACATATATTATAAATATATAAATATATATAAATATAATATGATATAACTGAACAGAAAAAAAAAATCAAAAATATAAAAAAAAATTGTTTAAATTCTTATTTTTGGAAAAAACAAGATTACACAAACAACATCAAGATTAATCGTATAATCAAGAAATAGATGAATTTTCAAATTCTTTCTTTTTTTTGTTTTATTTATTCCTAATATTTCGAGTGATTGAAATATATTTTATTATTAATAAATGTCATTAATAAATTTCTTGTATTATTATCAATTTATTATTTATTTACTTCTTATTATCATATATTTGTATAATCAACATATTTTCAAATCATTAATATTTTAAATATATAATAATTCATTTAATACATATAAAAACTGCTTATGCAACGAAAATAAGAAATGTCCAGTAAACAAAATTAATGAAAGACGATGGTTGTAGAAAGTTATTGTTTTCATTTTATATTTTAATCATTATTCAAAATTTAATTATTCTATTATTAATATATTTTATTTACATTAAAATATAAAATTCATTGATAATAATAATAATAATAATTATCAGTTTTGTTGCTTTATAAATACTTTGTAATGATATTTAATCGTAATGTTATCTAATTAAAAACTTGTAGTTATATAAATGATTAATTACTTTTAGAACTAAGATTAGATTTTTTAATTTCAAAAAAAGAAATACGAATATTTTAAATCATATTTCATTACTTGTCATGTTCTTAAATTTATGATATTATATTATTTTTAATATTTTAATATTATTTTTTTAATATTATTTTATTCATAAAATATTTATACTATATGTATATAAATCAATTTTTAATAAGCATCATTATTAAAATATTATGTAAAAAATATTTATATATATATAAATAAAAATATTTATATATAATCATTAATATATGAAAATATTATATTTTTAAATTATTAACTTGATTAGAAAATTATCATTTCGTATTAAAAATATAAATAGAAAATAATTGATTAATTATTATAAAATGATTATTAATTATAATAATATTTGTCAATTCGAATGATATGATTCTATATAATTTGATAACTGATAATTCTATAATTGAAACGCATAAGGCTCATTTAAAAAAACTTATTTTTCAAGATGAATCTTATCGATCTTCTTTATTATTTGATGAAATACTTACATTTAGAAATTTAAAAAAAAAAGTATCGTGAATTCGATTTCATGAGGTCATGACTGAATTTTTTAAAATTATCGAGAGAGAGAGAGAGAGAGAGGGAGGGAGAGATTATACATAATTGTGAATATGAATAGCATAATATATTAAAAAAAATATAATCTATATTTATAATTTTACAAATATATCTAATAATTTTAGTTCTGTGAATGAACTTAACGTTCCAACTTTACCGGAAACAAATTGGGGATCAAAAAAAAATGAAAAGGAATCTATAGAAATACGACCTTTCAAAATTGATGTATCAAAATCGGTAAATAATTAAATAAAATTATAATTTATTTTTGAATTCTAATTTTTCCATTCATTTTAACTTATCCAACTATTCTTTAAGCTTTTAGATGATTTGAAATATCGCCTGGCACACAGAAGAACATATAAAAAACCATTGGAAAATGTAGGCTGGACTTACGGTATTTCAACTAAATATTTGAATACGGTACTTGATTACTGGAGAGATAAATACAACTGGACTGAGAGACAAGCTTTGTTAAACAAGTATCCTCAGTTTATGACTACTATTCAGGGTAAGGAAAAAAATTTATGCATTTTTATAATTAATAAAAAATTTAATAAAGAAGAAATAAAATATGTAAAAATTTTAGGTTTGGACATACATTTCTATCATGTAAAGCCAACAAATTTACCAAATAATAAAAACTTAAAAGTTTTACCTTTGCTAATGCTACATGGATGGCCTGGATCTGTTGTGGAATTTCAGAAAATTATACCCATGTTAACAAAACCTTGGTCTAATCAGAACTTTGTGTTCGAAGTTATTGTACCGTCACTTCCTGGATACGGTTTCTCCGAAGGTGCGGTACGACCAGGCATGGCTAATGCTCAGGTAATATTGCACTTTCTGTTTTTACAGACATATAAACTAATGTATTTAATGATTTTTCTTTCAAAACTACTTTTTATTTAGATAGCTGTAATATTCAAGAATCTAATGCAGAGACTTGGTTTTGAAAAATTTTATGTTCAAGGAGGTGATTGGGGATCTGTTATTGCTTCTGACATGGCTGTTCTCTTCCCAGAAAAGTTAGTAACTACAGTAACATAAAACTTTAAGAAAATTTAATATTATTTTTTTTAGGATAATTGGTCTACACAATAATATGTGTACTTCTTTAAAATTATCTAATCTTTTCTGGTTATTTGTCGGTACCTATTTCCCATCATTAATAGGAGCAAATGAACATTATTCAAAATTCTTTCCTGTGAGTGAAATTTTGTCCAACTTAATTGAAGAAAGTGGTTACTTTCATATACAAGCTACAAAACCAGATACTATAGGTATATATTTTGTTTAGGATATTCAAAACTTTAAATAAAATACATAAATTATTAGAAATTAAAATTTTTAATATTAATAAAACTTGTTCGTCAGGTGCTGCATTGACTGCTTCACCTGATGCATTAGCAGCATATATTTTAGAAAAGTTTTCTGTGTGGACAAATAAGACATACAAAAAACAAGATGATGGTGGTATAACAGAAAAATTTATGCTGGATGAGCTATTAGATAATATAATGATATATTGGATCACTAATAGTATTACTACAAGTGTTAGACTTTATGCTGAAAACTATAGTTCATCATATAGATCTCTGAAAATTGACCAGTAAGTTAATTTATTTAATTTACAAATAAAAATAAAATATAAATTTTTTATTTATACAAAGCATTTAAATGTACACATTTTATTTCAGATTGCCTATAAAAGTGCTTACAGCTTGTGCAGTCTTTCCCAATGAAATACTTGTTCTACCTGAAAGTTTGCTTAAACAAAAATATCCTAATATAATTCAATACAACATTATATCACGTGGTGGACATTTTGCAGCTTTTGAAGAACCCAGACTTTTAGCTGATGATATTTTCAGTTTTGTTAAAAAGATAGAGAACCTTACATCAAAATTCTCATAGAAGCAATCTTATTAAGAAAAATATTCAATAATTTTTATACATACATATAATATATTTTTTTAAAATATTTTAATAAATTGTTATGTTTACTATTAAATACAAACAAGAGAATTATCTTTATTTATATTCATTGTATCATTTATATTTTAATATGATATTTCATAATATCAAATAAGATTTAATCTAATTAACATAATCATATTTTATATATGTTTTATATTTATTTAATATTATTTATGAGATAATAATTTATTACTTATACATTGCTAGAACCAGACTTTTCAATATTTTCTAATAAACTTTGTAAATTAGTTTCAAACAATTCACATCTGATTGGCATTTCTAATGAATAAAAAGGATTTTTTAAAGCATAATCAGCATATAATTCATATACTCTTTTTAACAGAATTTCTATTCCACTTTGAGTGGGTTCTGCCACTACTATGAATTTTATTCCAGTTAATGTTTGATAGCAATGCAACCTGAATGTATCAGCTTCTAAAACTTCAATGCCAGAACAACGTGGTTCAGGACTTAATTGACTGGCAATTGCAAATAAAGGATAAAACATTGAGGCTAAAAAAATTTTTTCATTGGTTGTCATTCTAGCACGGCTAAATTTAAGTAATACAGGAAAATTTTCTGGTTGTTCTAACAGTTCAATCACATCTTTACCATTTTCTAATTCACGTCCTACAACAGGACTATTATTTACTGCAGTTAAAACATGACCCACTACAATAAATAAACAAAATATAATATATATAAATTATATAATATATATAAATTTTATAATCTTTTAAAAATTAAAGAAATATTCTTACCGTTAATTCCTTCTTTTTGTCCAAATGAAACAACAATTTTTTTATTTTCATAATTTAATTTTATATCAAGTGGAAAATTAAATGTTTTTTCATTTTCGATTCGCGGAACATTATGATCATGATTAAAAATTAATCCGCCTGATTTTGATACAATATAAACACCATAAATAACCATGATTAAATTTTTTCAATTTGCTATATTTATAATTAATATATTAATATATTATATATAATATAATAATATAATATTAATAAATATTCTATAATTAATTATCACTTTTTAATTATACATTGTAAGTTTTTTAAATTTATAGATATCTCAATTAATTGTATATTATAAAGTATACGATAAAGTTGTCAACATCAATTATTTTTTAGGTTATGTTATTTAAATTCAAAATCAGATGAAATTCATTAGTTGAATATTTAAATATTACTACTATTACTTATATTAATTTCTATACTATTATTTCTAGTTAATTCTCAGTTAGTTAATTTTAGTTGAAAATTTCAATTAAAATTATTTCAATTAAATTCAAAAGTTACTAGAATTTGTAGTTCTTATGATATCATCTATACTATATTTTATTTGCGAGAAAAGTTTTTGTTTATATTATGGGAGAGAATTCGCATTTTTCCCATAAAATTTATAAAAATGATCCTTTATTATTTAAAAGTTACATTGGTATGAAAGTGAACATTTTAACTGAAGATAATACCATGATATCTGGTGTTGTTTATACAGTTGATCCAGTATCGGAAAGGTTAGAATCGTTTGTACATTATTTAAAATTTTCAATTATTCCTTTATTCATAAATAATTTATAAGTTGTTTTGCAGTGTTGTATTGTTACAAGGCTGCCAACAAAATAATTTAAAAATCATATTTGGTCATGCAATAAAAAATATAAATATCTGTTCAAATCAATCATATGAATTACCAGAATTGTTTACAAACGCTCCAGTAAATATTCTTCAAACCACATTAGAAGAACGAAAAAATGCTGTGATAAAATTACTTCGAGAAAATAGATTCCCTGTAAAAGAACAAAATGACATTTTAACAATAGAAAATATACTTTCTATAAAACCACCATATGAACCTTCTGACTGCATATGCGATAATAGCATTATTTTACGAAGAATTCAAAGTTTTCTTTCTCGTATACAAATTTGAGATTTATGCTTTTTTAAAATAATATTTATACTCTTTATTTAATTGAAAGATTAAATAAGTAATTATAAAAAAATACAAATTGTTTTAAAAAAATTGCTTTATTTTTTAAAATCTGAATTATATCTCTTTTTATTACCATAAAATATTTTATTTTTCGCACATCATATATCATCTAAAATAAAATTTTATTTGATATAAATTAATCGCAGATGAAAGTGTTTCATTTACAATTGAATTGAATTTTAATATAAATATATAGATGCTTAATATAAATTTTCATTTTTTTTGTTACATATATATATTAATGAGAAATAAATCAAAATAATAATTTCTTACAAACTATTTCAATTTGTTAAAATAATACTCATTGCTTTTTAGAAATAAATAATTAATTTAATAATTAATTCGTTTAGTGAATTATGAAAAAACAATGTTAAAAAATTTGTGCAATTTTATGAATTTCTTTTATAAATGAATATTATTCTATAATATATAATTGTTTAAAATCGAATAATTAATTATAAAATTATATTATCTGTGAAATTTTTTGAAATTATCGCTATTAAAAATGTGCGCATTTTTAGGTCTTATTTGGAAACAACTATTTCTATTTTTTTTTTTTTTTAAATGATGCTTGACTTAAAGAATGAAGAATAAAAAGAAAACTATAAAACTATAAAATTATTTTTAAAAAATAAATTGTTAACTATAATTTTAATATAATTATAATTTTAATAAAATATAAATCTATTTTAATTATCAAAAGAAAAAAGAAAAATATATGTATTTTTTTTGCCTTAAACTTAAACTCTTTGCTGTGGTAATGGAAGTAAAAATCACTGTTTAGATATATTTTTTTTAATTCTAAAATTCTATTTTCTGTATTTTTATTATGAATAGATGAATAATTTTTAAAATTGAATATGTCAAGTACTTACTGTTCGTTTTGTGTGCGTTTATATGTATATGTGCGCGCATTATTAATTTTCTAAAGCATATACGTAAATATAGCAATGATATAGAAAATAGATAAATTTGTAAAGCTTTATACTGCTACATACAGTGATATTACATAAAATATGTACCACAGCAAAAGAGTTAAATTTTGATATAAAATGTTTGATATAAAATAAATGCAATTACAATAGTGCACCAACGCAGAATGCGTCAAAGAATTGAATATTCAAGGAAAAATCTTGCTTCGATTTTTTCATTTCTTTTAGAAAAATATCGAACTGTCTAGCTTCTCTACCGTGGGAAGAGGAAACTATTTCGGGTGAATTTTACTTATTAAAACTACCTTGCATATCTAGGATCTGTTGGCATATCACAGCCACCGATATGTGCATATGCCTCTACGAGCTTGGTGCACGTAAAATAAGAGGACAACTGAACTCTGACGCATTTCTGACTTCTCCATTAATATTTTTTAATTCGTTGTACATTGTGCAAGAAGAAATTTGATATTTTTTTCTTCATAAAAATTTCTAATATATTATAAATATTCAAGATATTTGAAGAAGAAGTATTTTCTTCTAAAATGATAAATTATTAATTTATAATTTTATATTTCACAATAATGATTTCAAAACGTTCAGAAATGATATTGTTTTTTTCTTATTTGCGATTTAATTAAAAGATATATGCACATCAATGGAAAAGCATATAAAAGAATGCGTGTAGAGTTCTTCCAAGGCAGTGTTTCTCCATAGAAATACCAGGCGCTTCTTTGGAGCAAAGTAAATATCCTAAAGAATCTATTTTTAGATAACAGGTCATTCGGCCTCACCATCGGAATAATATTCTATGGGGGCAGGATCGCGAGATTTACGAGAATATCTTAAACCCAAGAAATCTGCAAGACTTTCAATATGTAATAATACCTAAATAAAAAAAGAGAAAAAATTTAAAATTTCAATTAGAAAATCAATGGCAAAAAATTAAATTAACAAAAGAAATATATATGCTTACGTAATCTAATTGTTGTTTAGTATGTGCAGCAGAAAGACAAAATCGTATTCTGCCTTCCATTAATGGGGTTGCTGGAAATCCAACTCCAACTGCTGCTATGTTATATGTTGTTAAGGTTCGTACAACTGAACTATTAATTGGAATAAAAATTATAGTTTTAAGATTCAATTCATTATTTTACATTAAAATATTAATTATAATAATAATATTAACTAAAATATTAACTTATTTACATACCCTATTTTTGAAAACAAATAAACTAACATAGGTACAACAGGTGAATCTTCATTTCCATAAATGATAACTCCAATCTGATTAAGTCTACGTCTGAAGTATCTAGTGTTTCTCGCTAATTGTTTTGTTCTTCTTTTTCCATCATCTGTACCATCTTCCCCAGCTATTATTTTCATTGAAGTTATAATTTGTTGTGCTATTGGTGGAGACATAGCTGCCGCATAAGTATGTGCATGACTATGTATCCTTAAATGATTTATTAATATCTAAAAATATAGAATTATTGTTGTTATTAATATTGAATTATAAACATTATGTTTTTAATTATAAAGATAATTTGAAAATTTTTTTTACTTTTGTTCCGGCAATATAACCGCCAGCGGATCCAAAACTTTTTGTAAAAGTTCCCATAAGTATATCCACCTCTCGTGGATCAATTTCATAATAATCACAAACACCTCTTCCACGTTTGCCTAATGCACCTGTGCTATGAGCTTCATCCAAATAAAGATAAGCCTATTATATTAAATTAAATTTTAATATTTTCTAGATATATATTAGAATGGAATTATTGTATATGTAAATAAATGTACATACTTTGTACTTCTTCTTGAGCTGCAAAATTTCAGGTAGATGTACAATAGAACCTTCCATAGAATAAACACCTTCCACTACAATCACTATTTTTTTCCAAGGTTTACGAGATTCTGGTTGACCAAAAACTATTGCAGTTTTCAAGCATTTTTCTAAATGCTTCATATCTACAAAAAATAAAATTCAATATTTAAGCTAAAAAATAAGTTTTATGAAATTTTTTTGAATTTGTTATTTTATAAACTTACTATTGTGCTCAAATACTCTAACTGTAGCACCAGATAATCTCAATCCAAGTATTAATGAGGCATGATTTTTTTCATCACTTAATACTAAACATCCCTTGCTCAATAATGAGGGCAAATTAAGAGCATTTGTAGCAAAACCCATTCCAAAGACTATAGCGTCCTCCACACCCAAAAACCTAGCCGTTAATTGTTCTAATTCTTCGTGAATTGGCATATTTCCTGGATTTAAAAAAGAAGTTAAAATAAAAATAGTATATATTATTACATAAAATAAGATAAAATTAATTACCAAGTTCTAGACGACTACTGCAACTAGCACAACCAAATTTTTTCAAAGTTTCAATACTTTGATCAGCACATTTACCATTCGCTTCTGCAAAGCCTAAATAATTGTACGACCCTAAATTTATACATTCTGATGTCGTTCCCGTGAATCTGAATATTAAATTGGTAAATGAAAAATTATAATTTAACTTTAATTTATTTTAGTAGACTATAATATATTTTATGTTATTTAAAATGCTAAAATGATGCACATGATGCACATATATATTAATCAACTTATTTTATAAAAATTAAATTAAAAAAAATTAAATGGAATGTTCATTAATAAAAAATAAAATATTATATAATAAAGTAAAATTTCTATAAAAAATTGACAAAAATGAAGTAGAAGTAGAAATGTTTATAAAAATTAAATAAATAAATAAATGTAATAAAAAACAATGAAATTAATCGAAATCCATTTAATTTAATTTTCAAGTTATAAATCTGTTTTCTTGCTCAATCTCTGGTCGTCAAATCTCCTTGAGTTCTTCATTACATTTAATCAAGACAGATGCTTGCCTTCCTGTATCTCCAATCGAGTTGTTACGATTTTCGAATATGTGCATTTGAAATTAAATAACAATCATATCAAAATTAAAATTATAATAATTTCTATTATTTTATAATAAAAAAATTATAATAGTTGTTATACAACTTTAATGAAAAACTATATCAAAATGGATTATATATAAATAGAAAATACTATAATTAATAATTCCTTTTGTTTAAAATAAAATTGCATATAATCCTCAATTTGATAAAGATTTGTAATGTATTTTAATTTAAAATTGACGAATTATTTTTAAAATTTCAACTTACTGAAACGTCCATCCATAATCTTTTGTTATTCTATCCTTAAGTGTAACCGTGGCACCTGGAACAGAACATATTGGCCTGTTCCAACAATCCCTTACTCTCCTGTAAACGTATCGAAGATAAAACTCTTCGAAATGCTCATATAAAGATGCATAACCCTAGAAACAAATAAAATTGAATTAAATTTTTTTTTAATTAGTATTTATTTATATAAAAAAAATTTTAAAAATAATAAAAAATATTTAAAATTAAAATTATAATATATATAACATAAATAATAATAAATTTTATGTACAAAAATTAGTTTCTAACATCGGCTGAAATTTCAAATTTATCATTTAAATATTTCAAGGCCGAACAATTCATTATCGGTCAAGCTACTTTATAACATGCCATATACGGCTACACAGTAATGCGTAACACTATTCTAACAAATAGAAAAATCAGTACAATAGAAAAATCTATAGAACGTTTCAAAATAAATGATATAATATAAAAAAGATTTTAATATATCAATATGAACGTAATTTAATTTAGAAAATTATTTTTAAAAAATTTGATTCTTTTGAATTATATTTTTTTAATGCTTTATATATTAATCATTGTTTTAAGTTTAAATTTATATAATGAATTTCCTTTAGAAAAAATTTTATTTGATATTATGATATTTAAATAATATTAATAATTTTTAATTGAATGAGTCATATCATAAGATTTGAAACGTATTATATTTATTATTATTATTTAAACGTTATTATTATTATTTAAACGTTAATTTATATGATAAAACGAAAGAAAGACTTTGTTTACAAAATGTAAGCGCAAATTTTCTAT